CTCCCGACATCTCAGTAACTATTCCTCCCCACCTGCACCCCCAGCTGAGATGACTGCAACCTGAAATTCCTGGTTTAGTCTATATTTCAGCGAAACTGCCAACTTAGGGGCATTAGGGTATGGGAGGAAGGAGAAGGGTCATGTAAGATTTCTGAGTCAGAGGTGGGCAGGGCGGGGGGGATGATGAAGATGACAGTAGTGGTGCCTAATGATTTATGTCCACCCTCATCCCCAGTCCAGTGGTCTGGCATCATGCTGGTCTGCATTATAATTCAACACTGCCACTTAGCTGAGTAACCCTGGACTAGCTAAATGGGTCCTGGCCACCATAGTTAAGTGTTCAGAACTTATTCGGGTTCCTTCTCTTTGAGCACAGCTATTTTATGAACAGTTATATTCAGGCATGGCTTATAATTGTAACTTACGTTTTCCTTTAAAGGCAATTTGTGGCAGCTCTGGCTGACTTGCAGGAGGCTGTGAAACTCTGTCCTGCCAATCAGGAAATCAAGAGGCTTCTGGCCCGTGTAGAAGAGGAATGTAAGCAGCTCCAGAGGAGTCAGCAGCAAAAACAGCAGGGCCCGCCCCCCGCTCCACCCAACGACTCAGATAATGAAGAGGAGGATGCCCCCACTCCCAGGTTAAACGACCACTTTCATCTGGAGGAGGCTGAAGAGGAGGAAACTTCTCCACAGGAAGAATCCGTTTCCCCGACTCCCAGGCCCCAGCCATCCTCATCCGTCCCCTCCCCCTACATCCGAAACCTGCAAGAAGGGCTGCAGTCCAAAGGACGGTCAGTGTCCCCGCAGAGCAGGGCAGGGATCAACAAGCCCCTGAGGGAACCCGTAGCCCAGCCAGGGCTGGTCCTGCAGCCCACGAAGCAGGCACAGATAGTGAAAACCAACCAACACCTGGGCTCTGGACAGTCTGGCGGGAGAAGCAGCAGCACAAAAATTCAAATCTCTTCTCAGAATCCTCCCCCGAGTCCAATGCCAGCTAGACTCGCTGCAGCTCCTGCTGGGAGCAGAAACCAGCATTTAGAGGGAACAGGTGCTTTCACTCTAGGAGCTGCTCCTGGCCACTTTGGGGATCGGCTGGGCCCCAGCCAGAGTGTCCACCTGCAGCGCAGCGAGAGTGGCACTGCGTACCCTCTACCAAGCAAGATAAAAACTGCGGAGAGGCTTCTGTCTTACGCCTCCATGGCCGTGGACGTCGCCCCCCCAAACCAAGGTGGGCCGGTGAGCTGCAGTGACGTGCGACACCCAGCTTCCCTCACCAGCTCGGGCTCCTCTAGTTCTCCATCCAGCAGCATAAAGATGTCAAGTTCAACCAGTAGTTTGACCTCAAGCAGCAGTTTTTCGGACGGCTTCAAGGTCCAAGGACCAGATGCTCGAATGAAAGACAAGGTTGTAAACCAGGTTCAGAGCGGTACCGCTGAGCACAGACCTCGCAATACTCCATTCATGGGCATCATGGACAAGACCGCGAGGTTCCAACAGCAGAGCAATCCTCCGAGCCGCGCCTGGCACTGCCAGGTGGCAGAGGGGCTCCTGACAAACACATCTGCAGCTGGCCTGCAGCCCTCGAACTCTGAGAAGCCCGCCCTCAAACCAGGAGGAGGATATGCTAGCCAAGCGAAACCCTGTTCTGTTTCTACCCTGAGTGGAAGTGTCCACAATGGGGCACAGGTGAAGGAGCTAGATGAAAACAAGTGCCAAATTCCAGTCCACTGTCCAGAGAACAGGGTAACTAAGACTGTTTCTCATCTGTATCAGGAAAGTATCTCCAAACAGCAGCCTCACATCAGTAATGAAGCCCACCGGAGCCACCTCACTTCAGCGAAACCAAAGAGATCGTTCATAGAGTCAAACGTGTGAGCCTTAAGAGAGACCCATTTAGAGAATTTGGAAAAGTGTATTTAGCTCCTGGTGGTAATAATTAAATGTTTTTCTCATCCGAAAAATTATTTTTTAGCCAGTTTCTTTTTTCCTCTGGGGTGGATCTGATGCCATTGATATATTTAAAATGTGAGATAAACTTCCTTAAATAGCTAGAAGTCACCATAAATAAAAATGCTAAACAATTATAAACTATAATTAACTGTACCTATCAAGCTAAACATTTAAGACAGCCAAGAAGGCATTAACTCATGCTTTTTCTCTTACGAAATTATTTGGTTTTTATCAAAACTTTTCTCCTAGCCTTTGCTATATGGTAAAATCACAGTATTAGAGAATAAAAATGTCTATTGGTAAAGAGTGATAGGTTTATTATTCACATAATATCTAAGTGATGTATTCTGGAAAAGATGGACTTTTCCAGTTACAGTTCCACTGAGACAAATCCCAATTTATGTAAAAAATTAAGATCTAAGTGATTTCTAGCTGAATATAAGTGTGACTATAAACATATAGCTGATTTTTTTAAGCAAAATATGAAGACACCCAAATATTGTTCCCTTCATAGCAGTTCCTTTAACAAGATTCAACACTTGTTTCTGTTATGATTCTTAATCAAAATATTTTTGTAGCACCTTTTTTGGAACTATATTCATGCTTGAAGGTGTTTCTGATATTTGGAAACAGTATAAGCCATTTGGAATTATGATTGGTGGGTGGTCAAGTGGATCTGAGCTAAAATACTAAGACCAGCAGCATTCTTAGTGGCACTTATAAATTAGCTCTCAGCTGGGTCCCATAATGCTTTTTAACAATGATAGTGCTTCTGGAGCAACCTTTCCAAGGTCCTTTAAGGACAGTGTTTAATTTGGATACTTAAGGTATGGTTGGTTGGTTGGTTGTTGCTTTTTTGTTGTACAATCAGTGCTTTATATTAATAGTCACATGTTGTATATATTAAATAGCCCAGTTTTATTCAGAACTGTAAATATAACTAGTTCCAAGTAGTTAATCTAAAAATAAAACCCCAGTCATATATTTGCATGTTCTTTGTAAGCTTCATCCATGCTGGTTATTGCACTGAATGATGTATTATTACGGCATGTTAACAGTATACCAGTAACGGCACTTTATTTCATTTATATGAACACCTTTGAGGTGCTACTTAAGTCCAAACTGATGTATTATTCATTTGTAAAGATAAGGTACAGGAATGAACCTTGGTCTAAAGGTATTTTTATATGAAAATGGTGTTATTGGAGAATGTTAAAATGCTAATTTGAGAGAAGTGGGAGTGTATTCGTTTTATATGTTGGGATGTGAAATTTATTTTCTAGAATTGGGGAGAAGGAAGTTCTATATTTGCAGAATGTTTTAAAAATAAATAGTTGTAATGAAGTTCCTGTGAACAACATTACAGTTTTGTACGAATAGGAACCTTCTGGTGTCATTCAACATTTGTTCCTGAGTATATGTACAGTGTACTTTGTACAAACAGCTTTATCTTTTTTTTTTTTTTTACAGGCTTTCCCTGAGTTCTGCTATAACTACTATGGCTTATTTATTGTTTCCTTTAATATTTGTGAAAGTCTTACTCTTTTGTTATGTAGTTTTGTTTCTGCACAACTACTGTACCTTTCCATATGGAATAAAGACTTAATAGAATTTGCTTTGCATTACATGTGTCAGTGGGTAAGTAGAGAATATCCTGTTGGCAACTCTCTTGCTTAATCCTTGTTACCCTAAAGAAAATACTAAAAACATATTTTAATACTACCTAAATGCATATTTAATTTCATTTTATAATAATATGAGAATAAGGGTGGCAGCTTCTAGAAATTCCATACTATTCAAGGATCAATTTAGTCTTTGTGCCTGAAAAAGGAAGAAAGCATGAAGAAAAGCAATCTATAATTTCCTACCTGTTTCAAGAAATCTTGGTGTCTGTGGTATAGCTAAGTTTGGCTAATACATTTACACTGCTTTTCCCCATTTATTGCTGAGTTTTAAAATTCTGAACTGGAAAGAGTCTGGGGGTGACAGTACAGAGGGGGATGGAGACGCAGTCCTAGTCCCCGCCTGCCCCTGCAGTTTGGTTCCAACGTGCTGCCCACCAATGGCTTCCATCCTGGTAAGCGACTTTCGACAGGTACATAAGATGTCAGTACAGCTTTAACTTCCTGAACTTGAATGTTTTTTCTGAGTGAACGCTTGTCAGGGTGTTATATTAAATATCAGGCTGTTGTATAAAAATGCCTTTGTATAGTCACCCTAGCTTAGAATAATATGTGAAAATTGTAAGAATTCCAAATTCTGAAAGGCTAGTTTGCCACTCTATATACTTCAGCAGTCAACTTGACTTATAATAATTTATTTCATCTAACTTGTACCTAGGTTTGGACAGTGGAAAAAGTAATTACCAACAAAACTGCTTATTAAACATGTCTGAAGGGCCGGGCGTGGTGGCTCATGCCTGTAATCCTAGCACTCTGGGAGGCCAAGGTGGGCGAATCGCTCAAGGTCAGAAGTTCGAAACCAGCCTGAGTGAGACCCCATCTCTACTATAAATAGAAAGAAATTAATTGGCCAACTAATATATATAGAAAAAAATCAGCCAAGCATGGTGGTGCATGCCTGTAGTCCCAGCTACTCAGGAGGCTGAGGCAGGAGGATTGCTTGAGCCCAGGAGTTTGAGGTTGCTGTGAGCTAGGCTGATGCCACGGCACGCACTCTAGCCTGGGCAACAAAGCGAGACTGTCTCAATAAATAAATAATAAACATGTCTGAAGGAATTTTCTCAATTTAATCAAACAATCTATAACCATTTTGCTATAAATTCTAAAACTTACCAAATTAACGGCTATTAACTAGGATTTAAGCATCCATTATATTCCAGTCTTTAGTTATGATGAGGTATGAGCTATACATAAGAATAAATTTGGGTACTGCAATTTAAAATCAAAGTAAACTTTATTTCTATACAGCTTAAGATTTTTTTCACTAGTACAAAAAAGGCTTTCATAGTAAAAATACAAATGAGCTTAGATGTGTAATTTAGTCCATGTGTTTCAAAGAATGAAAACTGACAATTTACAGGTAACTAAATTTACCTTTTTCCTTGTTTTGCTTTTAATATGTGTATAATTAGTATTTACCTTTACATCATTCAAGTGATACCACTAAAAAATATAAACAATTCAATACAAACAATTTTACTTTTGATGTGTCTCAAGCCATCGATTAATGGCCATTTTCAGAGTCCTATTTGGTGTAAGTACCAATGAAGGAAGAACAAGATTTGTCATTGGACTTGTACGTTTCTTTTTGCTGATCCAATTTTCCATTGCTTCTCTTTCATATGAATACCCATCTAAAAGAAAGCACACACAAATTATTTCTGATGTGTAGAAAAGGGATTTAGGATTACTGAAATGAATTGAGTATAAAAACTTCATTGCCAAGGCCTTTATTGTGATTTAAGTGGTATTCTTTATTGTATCATCACTCCCAAAATATCTCTGCCACAACACCTGAAATTCTACCATTTGAGATGCATTAAGATTGAATAGTGTTTTATGAAGCCTAAATTATCTAGAACAGTTTCATTGTAAGTTCTTTGTGAACACTACTATTGAAACCAAGACCCTGTCAAAAATTCAGACACAGTGGAAAAGAAGAAAGGGACAGAGCTGGGTAGAGTAGTGAAGATAAACTGCCTCATTACAGGTATTAGCTATGTGTGTAAATTAATTTGGCTAAAGATAAAAGGGAAAAGAGCCTTAGGAATAACTCAGCAAAACTTCCCAAGACATTGAAAAGTCAGGAAAACAGAGACACAGATGTTATAGAATTTGCCCCACTAAGGATTTCACAATAAAGGGATTTGTGATGCAAAAAAATATCTACTGGCTAAGACTTAATACCATTTCCTTACGGGCCAGGCATGGTGGCTCACGTCTGTAATCTTAGCAGTGTGGGAGACCGAGGCAAGCGGATTGCTTGAGCTGTGGAATTCAAGACCAGCCTGAGCTAACACAAGACCCTGCCTGTACTAAAAATAGAAAAATTAGCTGGGCATGGTGGCGGCACATGCCTGTAGTCCCAGCTACTTAGGAGGCTGAGACAGGAGGATCGCTTGAGCCCAGGAGTTTGAGGTTGCTGTGAGCATGATGATGCCAAGGCACAGAGTGAGACTCTGGTTTTTACAACAAAACTAAAAAAAAACCTCCACAAAATACCATGTTTTTCCAAAGTTCTTTGTCTTTACGTATGTGAAGACTATAGGGGCTTTTTGCAGACAAGGTCTTGCTCTGTCTCCCAGGCTAGAGTGTAGTGGCATCATCATGGCTCACTGTAACCTCAAACTCCTGGGCTTTGATCCTCCTGCCTCAGCCTCCCAAAGTGCTAGGATTACAGGTATGAGGCAACCATGCCTATCCTAAGACTGGAGTTTTGCTTCACTACTTTCATTTTTATACTTGTAGCTCTTTCTCTTATGCTACAAATCTTGGTTCCTATTTACATTTAAACATTAACCTATTTTGCTTTGCCTACTATATATATATTTGTTTCAAAATAATGCCAATATACTACTAACATAAGACTGTGAAAGAAATTTATGATTTCTCTGTGGTTCTGTCATCAAGGTTAGATCCACTAGGGTGGTCTAATCAAAATACCGTGTTTGGAAAGCACATTTGTATGGTTCTGAAGTAAAACCTAAAACAAGATACATTCAGAGGAGTCTAATCTATCCCTATCCCATCCTTGTTCCCACCCTTCCCATGAGTAACCATATTAGTTTTTCTTTTCCTTTTTGAAAACAAACAGATGCATATGTATACAGAGTATATACACATTCTACATAAAAGCTAGTATACTGTGCACGTTTGCACCTTAATGTGTTTTCCACCCACTATACTGCGTGGATGTACTGATGGACATCTGGGCTGTTTCCAACCTTTGCCTTTCACAGACAGTGCTGCAATGAACAGCCTCGTGCATGTGGCACTTGTACTTTGGGGAGATTCCAGAATAGGACTGCCAAATCAAAGAGAGAATGTACATAATGTTGCTGTATATTAATAGTGCCAACCTCCATATTTCATTCCTACTAGCAATGTTTGTGACAGTACCTTTTTTCCCCTACAGCCTAACAGAATGCTGTCAAACTCTTGGAATTTTACCAATTTCCAAGTGAGCAATGGTATGTATTTAATAGTATGTCAGGTGGGGAACATTTTTTTCATATTTTTTGCCCATTCTTTGAGGTTGTCTTTAATTTATGAAGATTTCATATATGTGGAATATTAACAGTTCACCAATTTTCCTTTGAGTCCCAGTTAGGAAGGTTTTCCCCATTCCATCAAGGAATTCACCTGCATTTTCTTCTGGGACTTCAAAGGATTCTTGTTTAGATTTCTTATCCATTTGGAGTTAATTTAGATGTACAGTATGAGGGATGGATCCAATTTTATCCCTTTACACATGGTTGTCAGAATATCACTTGCTTAAAATTATTTTTACTACTGATTTTAAATGCCTGCTTTTATTCCCTAAATTTCCAAATGTACTTGGATCAATTTCTAAATTTTTAACAATTATTTTCCATTGTTCATGTGCCAATACTACACTTTCATTTATGAAAACTATATAATTTCTAATGTCTAGTAGGGCTGCTGAGTTTCCTATCCACCAGCATGGTATGCTTCCATTTGTTTAATTATACTTTTACAGGGATGTTTTATAAGTTTTTGTCATGTAGGTTTAGAAGTTTTACATATTCTGTTTAGGGTTTTATTCTAGTTTTATTATAAATTGTCTTAAGTTGTACCTTTTAAGTGGTTTGTTTACACCCAGCAACCTAGTGATTCCTCTTTGGGTTTTTAATTTGCTACTTTAGTAAATTCATATTGTTTGTAGTTTTTCTGTTCTTTTGGGCTTTCCAGCTACATCACTGTCATGTAGAAAGGGTTCTTACCTTTGAGTTCTTATGTCTTTAGTTGCTTTTGGAGGGGACAGAGGAATCCCTAATTTTGTTGGCTAGTATCTCTAAAACAATTTTATCTATTTTTCTCTAAGGACAGCTATGGTTTGATATTTTTTTCCTTCTTCTAAAACAATTTTAAATAGTGAAGAGAGTGAGCACCCTTTGTGTATCCACGGCTTCCACTGGCTTTGGGGCCAAGGTATATGTTTGTCATATAAGAAAGTCTCCAATGCTTTTTGTCAAAGATGGTTGGGGCATTTACAGAGATGAGCCTAAGTGCTGCTTAGCCCTCTTAAGCTGTTGTTTCTCAGCTCCAAACCCACAGGTGACGCTAAGGATTTGCCACGTTGGGACCAGAATACTGCAGCCAACATACCCACTTTGCCAGCTCGCAGCAGGATTCCTCTAGAGGGAGGCTGGAAAACAGAGTGCAAGTTCCTACCAGGGCTGTGCTTGGCCCTGGCTTTTCATCTGGAGGGGCAGTTGGTTAGTGTCCAGATTTTTGTGGTTGCTTCATTTACTGCATTCAAATCTTATACTGCCCCTTACAGAAACCAGCACTACCTGGGTGGCTCCCCCTCCTTAGAGGCCCAAGTTCTGGTAACCTCAACTTCATTGTTCCCTTAGTCCTAGAGTTGCTACATGCTTTCTGGAGATACTGGTACCTGTGCTTGCCTTTTGTTCTTGAGATAACACCAAGAACTCGGTGAGTTGTATGTCACTCCGCCCACCACTAATCTACCTTCTGTCTGTATTGATTTGCCTATTTCTGACGTTTCATATAAATGGAGTCAAATAATATGTGCCTTTGGCTTCTTTTATTTAGCATCATGTTCCTAAGGTTCATCCATGTTTTAGTATGTATTTGTCCCCTTTTAGGGCCTATTTTATTTATCCATTCATCTATCTATTGATGGACATTTCACTTGTTTCCAATTCTCCTGGGCATATACTTAGTTGTGGACTTGTTGGGTCACATGGTAACACTAACTTTCTAAGGAACTGCCAAGCCATTTTTGACAGTGGGCACTGGTACTTTAGGATGTAGGTATTACTACTTTACAGGTTGGAAAGTTACAGGCTATGACTCAATTTCATGAGTCACACAGGTAGGGAGTGACAGGTAGGATTTAAATCCAGGAAATCTGGCTTCAGAGTCAAGGCTCTTAATCTAAATGTGACTTCCAGAAAGGACAACTATAGTATATGAAATTTTTAAAAAAATCTCAATTTAGACAATTACAGAAAACACAATTGGTAGATCTGAGAAAATTATCTAGAAAGGCTTAAGAGATAAGATGTATAGGAAGACTGAATAGTTAAAATTCCAGAATTCAGAAATATAAATCCATACTGGACAAATTCTCTGAAACAGAAATTAAATTAGTATATTTGAATTCTACAACAAGAGAAGTCAGTATGTTTGGCTCATAAACAATCGATACAAACAATATAAGGCTTTAGGAAAAAAGCAAACTAGTTTGCTCAAGTATAGTAGGTTATTATATCATAAATTTATGAACATTTTTTCTTAAAAAGTTATGTAAATGAATTAACATCCTTTAAATATTTAGAACAGACCTGAAAGGAGTGGAAAGTTGTCATCTCTACTCCTCATTCTACCCCCATTAACATTTAGTTTTTTGGTCTTTTAAAACATAATGATTCTAAAATTTATCTTGAAGGCAAAATGGGCAAGCCAGTTTTTTAAAAGATTAAAAAATGAACATAATTCCCTATAACTCTAGATCTGGGGAGAAAAAAAAAACATGATTAAAACAATTTATTCAACAGTAGGTATGCAAGTGAACCCAGATATATGACTGAGGGTGTTGACAATAAAGATGTATATCAACATAAGAGTTCATTTAGGCAATATCTGCACCATGAAATAATACTATCCTGCGCTGAGAATGAAATACTTTCATAATTTAAAAGAATGCTGAAATACAGGCCTTGGAAATTTTTCTGAGGCAATTAGTTCAATAGATAAAAAGGACATGTGATCAATTCAGAAAAAGAGACCATATGCCAGGAGGAATTAGCCTACAGGGTATCAAATAAATGGTTCAACTCTGCTACTGAAGATTGAATTTTTTAAAAAAAAACATACACTTGAATTGTTTCCTACAGGAACAACTATAAAAACAAAATAACAGGAAAGTTAAGTCATGAATCTCCAGGGATTATGCTAGGCAAAAAAAAAAAAAAAAGCCAATCCCTAAAGGTTATTCCATTCATACAACATTTTTGTAATGGAGAACAAATCAGTGGTTTCGACGGGTTGGGATGGGAATAAAGTAGGCAGGTGATGGGTATAGTTATAAAAAAGGCAACAGGAGGGTGTCCTTGTGGGTTTGAAACTGCTGTGTCCTAAAATTAGAACATGATACATACAGGTAAAACTGAGGAAATCTAAGATCTGTGGATATCAATATCCTGGTTGTGATATAATGGTATCATATCATTTTAGAAAATGTTACCAGTGAGGGAAAATAAGCAAAGTCTACAAGGTATGTCTTACTATTATTGTTCCTTACAACTGCATATTGGATCTATAACTGCTTCCATAAAATAAAATTTCAAAATACCTGGGTGGTACCAGAAAGGTTAAAATGAAAGACACAGACAATACGAAATAGTAAGCAAGGCTGTGGAGCAATTAGAATTCCCGTCTGTAGTCGTATTTTTCTGTCATGTAGAAAAAAGCACATTGAACGTTACAGGAAGTGAACATTAAGAAGCCTCTGAATAAATTAGAGACAGAACCCTACTATATTCTGTGCTGCAGAATTGTTTTTTTCCTGAGACTCACTTTTAATAAATCAAATGCCGTTTAAGTAAGCCAACTTGAGCTTCTTTCAGGTTGCAAACAAAAGTCCTGATATACTAAAGTCAAAAAATGTACAGCCATTGCTATGGTCATCAAAATTTTCCTAGCCTGAAATAAAAATAGCCAACTGGCTTTTACTGAGTGTTTATCATATGCAGGTACAGTTTTAAGTACCTACAAATACATTAACTCATTCAATCCTTACAAAAATCCCACAAGGTAAATACTAGTATCCCCATTTTGTACATGAAGAAGATAAGTCACAGTGAGGTTGTATAGCCTCCCACAAGATGACATTGCTAAGAAGTAGCAAAACAGATTCAGGCAATCTGGCTCTCCCATGCATGCACTCAACTATCGAGGCCACACTGCCTCCCATAAGTGTATCACATTAAAGAATAAAAATTAAAGGAAATGAACATGAACTAAATGCTTGGGAATAAAAGTCACATAAGAAAACTACAAATGGGTAAAACATTAAAAGGTGCTCAAACCCAGTATTACACAAAGAAATGCAAACAGATTACTTTTCACTTATTGGATTGAGAAAAATTAAGATTGCTAGTACCTCAGTATAGGTAAGGATGGGGGGAAACCGGAACCTCCACGCTATATTGAGAGGGCAGTTTGTCAGTATCAATTTCCTTCAATAATTTTACCTGTAGGGAATTTATCCTACAGAAATATTCATATTAGGACGGCAAGGATAAATTTATACAATGCTGCACAGTTTACAGTAACAAAAAAACCAACAGGAAATGAAATAAATTATAGGACAAAGAACAAGGTAGATAAAGCAATGCCTGCTTCTTTCCCCTGAAACTAAACTTAAAAAAAATTAAACAGCACATAGAGATGACTACATACTTAAAACAGGCAAATGTCCATGGACATTATACCAAAAAAAAGTATGATATAGAATGGTATAAACACTGTAAACCCGGTTTTGCAAATATAACTTGATTCTACTGCTATTTAAAATGTGATATATAAGCATACACAGCAAAAAATATCTAGAACTATATGCTAAACCAGTCTCAGTGCTTGGCTTTTAGACCTGGGATTCAGGACTAGGTGAGGTGATTTTCACTGTGTATACTTTTATGTTTGCTTGAAATTTGTTACACAAAAAAATGAGCATACATTAGTGCACAAGTAAAAAATTTTGCAAAAAATACAAACTGGCTATTGATTTAATCATATCTCAGAGCAAAAGAAGCCTACGTATTTTTTTAAACTGGATAAAAATGTTTACAGTTGTATAAATGAAAAATACTATGCCTACAAAAGTTCAGAGCAAGCAGAGACAATCAAATATATTAAAATGATAAAACTCAGTAACTATTCATATTTAGTGTATCTAAGTCCCTCATATGTTAATTATCAAAGAAGGTGAACATATTTTCTACCCATGTATATTTAAACAGTAAACTCACATGTAGAAAAATTCACTACCTCCCTAGAAAAATAAGGAATAGTTTCAAACAAGTATTAAACTAGCAAAAATAAATGGAGTTATAAAATTCAGTAAAACTACAAAACTGTAAAAAACCAAGTACCCTTAAATATATTGCTGGTACTACTCTAAACTGGTGTTTTTTTCTAGAAAACAATCTAATAATATTTATCAAAACTTGTTTTTCATATTCAGAAAATATTCTCTAATTCTGCTGTGAGGCATATATCCCATGGAAATAACACTAAGTAATGGTAATAACAGAAAGAAATGTACCAAGATATCAGCACAATGCTATTTACAACGTAAGGATTTGCAAACACATACACTAACTAGTAGAAGAGTCAAACAAAATGTATTACAGAGTCACATGGAACTAAAGGTTTTAAAAGTGAAAATTATAGACTGTCAATACAGACTAAGCCAATATTCAGAAATGTATATAATAAAGTTTTAGGTCAAAATAAAAACACAATATAATGTGTATTCGCTGATTAAAACTATGTAAAGTATATGTGTCTATGTTTGTTGACAATGATTAGAAATTAATGCAGAATAATGGAACTTTATAATCTTTAAATTCTTATTTCAGTAAGTTTACATTCATGAGAAAAGAGATCTCAACAATCTATCTTTAAAAAAAAATAGTATTTCATCTTTACATCCTGATAACTAAATTCATATTTCACATGTAAAACTTACTCCTTTTGTCTCAACTCCAAACCTACTCTGTCTGATTGTATTTATTATGAAATATACACTGTTAGATTGTTCACCTCAGGTCTAGTGAATTTAAAAAAAAAAAAAACAACTACTTATGAGAAATAAAATAAGAATTTTGAAAATTTTCCACATTTAGGCAAACGTTCTGTAAACTACCTACATTTTTTATTCATTTAGCACATAGCATGCCCAGCAACTTAGTATAGCATCACACGTACCTGATGCGATGACTGGATCTGTCATAAGTTCCCTGGTTATTGGACATATGAACTCATCAGGAATTCCAGAAGACAGAGATTTAACCTTGGTCCTGAGCTCTTCGATTTTCCTCAGCAATTTACTACGCAGCCCTAGAGATTCTGGAAAGAAAATTATTGTTACAGCTGGAGAACTACTGGTAACCCTTATTATGCAAGTCTTTCACAAATACAGATTTTGTCAACTACAACCAAAAATCTTACAACATACTCCTTTACTACTTGGAATTTTTTTTTTATAAATTCCTTAATAAATCTTTGCAGTATAGAATACCATATTGCTAATATATATCAGATTCTGAACGTTCAAGAATTTCAGGTTGCCAGATAGTAACATACTCCACAAAATCATAAAAGACTTATTGGTTAACTTATGCATACAACAAAACATTTCCTAAAAATCTTTTTTTTTTTTTTGAGACAGATCTTGCTTTGTCATCCTGGGTAGAGTCCAGTAGCATCATCACAGCTCATGGCAACCTCAAACTCCTGAGCTCAAGTGATTCTCCTGCCTCCGTCTCCTGAGTAGATAGGACTATAGGCACGTGCCACCAAGCCCAGCTGATTTTTTCTATTTTTAGTAGAGATGGGGTCTCGCTTTGCTCAGGCTAGTCTCAAACTCCTGACCTCAAGAGATCCTCCCACCTCAGCCTCCTAGAGTGCTAGGAGTACAGGCCTGAGCCTCTGCACCTAGTCCCAAAAATCATTTTTAAACATGTTTGGGTTAATAATGTAAAAATTCCATGTTATATTTTTTAACTTAATGAAATCGGATATATTTGCTGGTTCTTACATGAAGTACAATCACAAATAAAGCTCACCTGTTTGTCCAAAACGTCTCCCTCTTGGGCTCATCTGCTTGCAGCCCTCTTATAAGACTGGGGATTTCATATGCTCAGGGTTCCTCATGCTCCACAGACATGAATCACCCCCATGAGACTTACTGGGACTGGGGAATCAATCAGAACAGGAAGCTCCTGCTGCGCCATGAGCAAGACACTTTAAATCAATCTGGGCTCGCCACCCATATTTGTGTAAATGTGGCAAGTCAACCTACCGTGTTTCCCCGAAAATAAAACAGGGTCTTATATTTATTTTTCCTCAAGAAGACACCCTAGGGCTTTTCAGGGGATGTCTTATTTTCCCCTCAAAGCCTCAGCTTGCAGCACGCACAGGATGACCAGGACCTCACAGGGGGAGTCAACCTTGGTGGAGCTGCCCGCACCTTTCCAGTCACCTCTGGGATAGTAGCTGTCATGATGGGGCAGATGAGAAGGGCTGCTCGTGTTCTTTACCGCTCTGTGACGAAACGCATGCCTTGAGCAGATACGCTGCGTAGCCACGCCTATCACTAGGTCTTATTTTCGGGGTAGGCCTTATATTGTGCAAAGGTTTAGAAATCCTGCTACGGCTTATTTTATGGGTAGATCTTATCTTCAGGGAACCAAGGTAGTACCTGCCTGCTGCTTAGGGCTGCTTTCCTGCGACTCCTTTCCTATGTAATTCACTGAAACCAAACTGAGGACTTTTAAAACTTTTTAAAAGTACGACAACATAAATCAACTTTTTTACATGTTGAATGATTCTGCAAAAACATTTATGACTCAAAGAGATTCCCTTAGATTCTTTATGAAATCACTGTCCAGACTCAAGAGAAAGCTAGTTCAACACAAAAATGCCTATTTAGGGAAGGGTGCCTCTAAAAATCAAGCACATTGCTGAGTGATCGCTACAGACAATATAACAAGCCTGAGAAACACTCACTCATGATAGTTTATTGAGTTCAACTCTTCCCGTGATGGTCCTACTCACAATGCTGCATTTTTCAAGGGTTAGCCAAGCTGTGTATTTTTATTTTGCCAGGCAAATATAATGAAGGGCTTAAAAGGAGTTATAATGATGGACCATGTACTCTAAGGAGGGAAATGAGAGTGGAGATAGAAACTAATAATTTAACAGGTAGGTAAGAGCAACATATTGAAGATTTTGATGAGATCAAGATATGCTGAGGTGGCTGGACTGGAGGATGAGACGGTAGCAAATCTGTTAGGACTTGGGTATGCTTCCTGATCATCTGCCAAGTGAAAATCCTCCACCTGGGTAGAGACAGGGCTTGATAAACTGTCTTGAGTGTTTCTAGAACATGCTTATAATTAGACAGCCTTCTCATTTAAAGGGATAATTATACAACTTACAATAAGAAAAGGATATAAGAACATTGAATATTCTGAGGAAAAAGTACCTTTTCTTATCTGTCAAAAATATTAAACATATGTACTAGTATTTAGAATGCTAACATTTATAATAGAGAATATAGAAGGCCTAATTCAAAACTCCCCAGGTAAGAAAAGGTTAAATTGGGTGTTATCCTTGTCCAATTTTAATACCATTTAAAAATGAAGTCAGATCACTTTGCCCTCAGGGAAGCATTTACCAAACCATATCCACAGAACTTAACCAGAAACAAATATCTCTTTATGACTGAGGGCTGGAAAAAAGTGTTTTATACTTAGCTTCTCAGAAAGAAAGGACTCCTTACCAGCTGAGGGCTAATAAACCCTCAGTCCAGGTAATGGGCAAACCCCGGCTATTTGCTATAACCCTGAAAAGGCATCTGGTTCATGCTGACAAGTTTAAAAATGGGCCACAGCTCCTGTCCCCTCCTCCTCCTTTCCCTTTATCCAACTCTAGAAATGCTACATAGAGAGTTTGATGGAATCTAGAAATTAATAACCATCAAATATACAAAACTAAACTCTGAAAACTCCTGAAGAAATAGAAGGTAAATGGGTTCCAGAGCAGGAGATGAGAAATGACAGCTTAGAGCAGAGACTTGGGTGTGTGAATGCAAGAAAGACCTTTCCTACTTGTGCTTTTTACTCTCCCAACTTTGTCCTCTAAATATCATCACCAAAGCAGCACCATGAGCATCAGCTGGAGGGTGGATAACAGGACCGAGCTAGAGCCTGGAAAGTAACAAGCAGACTATGGTGTGGTCACTCTCCACTGCCATAACAGAACAACAGAAACAAAAGCTGGTTTCTTGGGATGAAGGCCTTAAAAACTACTTTTTATTATTTATTTATTTATTTTTTGAGACAGGGTCTCACTCTGTTGCCCAGGCTGGAGTGCAGTGGCATCATCATAGCTCACTGCAACCTCAAAGTCCTCAAATCAAGTGATCCTCTTGCTTCAGTATCCCAAGTAGCTGGGACTATAGGCACGCTACCACACTCGCCTAATTTTCTATTTATTGTAGAGAAAGGGTCTTACTATGTTGCCCAAGCTGGTCTTGAACTCCTGGCCTCCCAAAGTGCTGGCATTACAGGTGTGAGCCTGACCTTGCTTTTTTGTTTTTTTAATAAATTTTATTTTAAAAAGTCAAACTTCTGAACAGATCCAGAGGACTTAGAGAAGATGGTGGTAGAAGTAGTATAGTTTAATTTCTCTGAGTCCCCACAAAAAAAGAGCAATTAGATAGCAAACTCAAATCACGTGGATATTTCCAACAAAACAAGGTAGCAAGTTATCCTCATGAACCCCACACAATAGAAGTGGTGAGGACAAACTGCCATAAGACGTGTGGTTGACACCTGAGTGGAAGGAAGCAACAGGACATCAGATAGGCCTGAGAAAAGGCGATCCCACAATGTCCAACGAGTACTCACTGGAAAGTGGGGTGGGCCAACTAAGAGCAGCTGAACTGGAAGTGTTATGCCCCCTCCAGTCATGATCGGTGCACAGTAACTAGATTTGAAGGGACTATTTCACTTTAATCATGTATAATGCAAAAATGGTAAATGTTCAATTACTTAACAAGATATGCATTTATAGCTAGGCAACAAGTGAAAATCTGCATAATCAAGTATTACTGGGAACTGAAACATGAAACTTTCAAAATCTAAGGATGTGAAGACAATGTATAAAGGTTGAAAAGAAATTCGATATTATTTTTAAATTAGAAAATGATTTAAAATGTCTTGTGTGCCTTTATGACCTCTTGGAAAGAAAAGACCCTTTGAATAAAATCTTATTCCCAGTTAGGCATCTACAATTTAAGATTATCTGAATATAAGCATAAACACTGACATGATATACATAGTTCCTTGGAGTCTTTCAACTCCAAGTTTCTGCCATTTTATCATCTACAGAAATTCAAACCTCCAAGATATGCAGCAGTTTGCAAGGTTCCCAAGGTCCAGATTATCAACTAAGGCCAATGAGCAGACAGAAGCCATGTGGCTTATCATGGACTTACTGTTTGCCTAATACCACATCTAAAAGTGACTTTCCTGCTCTTCACCTTTCATACTTTATGCCTTTTGAATGAGATATTAAATGGTATAGTATTCATAAATTCATGGATTTACAAACGTCTTAATGACATATCCTTCTCAACAGCAAGGATGTTTTGAAACTATAATCTGTCTGGACATTCCTTATGCAAATGTAGTACTAGATAGGAGCTATTTCCTAACCAAAACTGTATGTCTTTTGTACCCTAAGTTGTCATTAACATAATCCTAGAAAATGACTATCCTCAGTTAAAGCACCAGACTCAAACTTATTCATGTCTACAGAAACTTCCTTTATTGTGTATTTACAAAAGATTCATTGAAAAAGGATTTGATAGCCTACTCAATTCCTTAAAAATATCTTTTAAGTCTCAAACATAATAGATATACTACTTTGGTCTCAAACACTTCAATGTACTTTACTGCACAACTAATTTATTCTGTGTTTAATTTGTTGAGTTTGCTAACTTTCCAAACCTTCACCACAAGCATAAAGCAGATTCCTTATTTATTAAAGAATATGCAACATTTTGTTTCCATTCATAATAATGATTTTTCAAAGTCAGCTATTAGACTACCACAGAACTCATTTAAATATTTCAATTTTGGCTTGGGCCTGGTAATTCCAAAACCCATTTCACTGAACCTTAAAATGATTACTACCACTAAACCTGAGATTCACCCTTCAAAAACTATTTCAGGCCATTAATTGAATCCTGTAAGAATGAATGTCTTACTCTTTCTTTACCTGGCTATAAAAACTGAATTCTACTTCTATTAATTGTTTTCATATGTTTCTCTTATGTTTTCAAATATCTTTTGTTGAAACTGAAATTATTTTATGTTATCAAGTACTTCTGCTTGATAAGGTACTGTTAAAATTTCATTGAGAGAGATCAATGAGAAACTAAGATACTAATTTCATCCAAATTTAAAAAAAAAACAAAGTTGCACTCTATTACCTACTCTCAGGAGGAATGGGTAAATTAGAAAACAAATATTAGAGATACAAAAGTGACTGTCACAGTATGACCCGAGTATAGTATGTAACAACTCAACCTAAGTATTTTCACAAAATCATCCTTCTGTTAATTCCTTAAAAGGCCATAAACTTCCAAGGGATTTAAACAGGCTCACATACTATATTTACTACATAAGGAAAGTATATTACAACTTTTTAAAATGGTTTTATATAACAAATATTTTTTGTTATTTCACTCTTCATTAACAATAAATCTCAACATGAATATCCTATTTCCTGAGCTTTCTGGTTAACTAAGATTTTACTACAGCATAATGGTAATAGCATCTGGCTATTACATTTATTAGAGCATGGTGCTAAGAATCCAAACTTGTTTTTGGTAAGAATCTAGTATTCAGAATAAACAACTCTTACAACTCAATAATAAAAAGACAAATAACCAAATTTAAAGCTAGGCAAAGGAACTGAATAGACATTTCTTCAAAGAAGATATATAAATGGCCAATAAGCACTTGAAAGATGCTCCATGCCATTAGGTAAATGCAAATTAAAACCTCGATGAAATACTACTTCATAACTACTAGGAAGACTATAATCAAAATGACAGGTAATAAGTGTTGTACTAGAATATTAAAAGGAAATGATTAATGCAAATAAAACCAACCTCAGAGTAAATACTAAAAGTTGTTTTTAATATCGCCTAATCTTACCAATTTTCAAATCATCAGCCAGAATTTCTTTCGTAAGATTCAACAGTTCTTTTCCATCAATGTTATTTTTCTTGAAAATACCAACAAGGTCTTTTAAGCCTTGGGCACAAAGCCACATTGAGACATCTTCCTCTGACCAGTCTTCAGTGAACTTCAGCTGATCTTCTGTGCTCCTTGCTTAAAAAATAAAAAAAGGTAAGTGAAATAACGAAAGTATTTCCTTTATCAACATTCTCACTTTGAATTACAAAGTAAATGAAATTTCTTTAATCTGTTTCACTACTTTAACTCCCTTTTAAGAATTTCAAAAAATTAAATATCCTATGTCTAATTAAAGTATTATTTAATACTACATTAAATATTCCTCCTTTGGAACCTTTTCCTTTTCACTCCTGAAAAACAATTTTTCTTTATTATACAAAATTCATACCAGCAAATGTATTCTATTTGCTCTATCTTCTGCATATCAGCACCATTATTTGGTTAATTTTGACAATGGTAAAAATAAAACTCCTAAATTATATGGCAATGTTGCTTGATGAGGCCAAAAATAAAGCCAACAAAATATGACTAACTTCTATTCTGTTCTTGGGCTATATTTATCTGAAAAATTAGTATGAAGTATAAATAAACAGTGTACAAAAGCAAGGAAGGTGTGATATACATAAACACGGACCCAAAAGCATTTACCAACAGCTTTAACATAGGGCAGCTACTTTGACACTGGCTTCTCTAAATTATTTTTTATTTATTTCTTTATTTTTTAGACAGAGTCTCGCTTTGTTGCTCAGGCTAGAGTGAGTGCCGTGGCGTCAGCCTAGCTCACAGCAACCTCAAACTCCTGGGCTCAAGCAATCCTACTGCCTCCGCCTCCCAAGTAGCTGGGACTACAGGCACGTGCCACCATGCCCAGCTAATTTTTTCTATATAAGTTAGTTGGCCAATTAATGTCTTTCTATTTATAGTAGAGCTGGGGGTCTCGCTCTTGCTCAGGCTGGTTTCGAACTCCTGGCCTTGAGCAATCCGCCTGCCTCGGCCTCCCAGAGTGCTAGGATTACAGGCGTGAGCCACCGCGCCCGGCCTTCTCTAAATTATTTTAAAATTGAATGTGGATGCACACTTCATATGTGAAAAGCCATGTGAATAACATGTCAAAGGATTTACTGAATTTCCGATTTTAACAGTGAGTGGGGTTGAGGTGGATTGAAGATGATGTCCTTACTAACCTTGGCAAAGTGTTTCCACATCAAATTGCCAGATGTTCACTGTTTTGTCCATTGAACCAGTAGCAAGTAAAAGAACATTGGGTGCAAAGGCACAAGTTGTGACATACCTAGTTAATAAAAACAACTATTATGTATCTTCTGACTAATTATTTAATTTTATTAATACAAAGTAAGATTAAGTTCAGACCTGGTATGCTGAGTCAACGTGTAAAGTATATTCTCAGTATTCTGAAAAACAAAAACAGCCTTGTATTTATTCAGGCAGGAGCAAAGTTTCTGATAATGACTCACTTGATATAAATGGGTTTATCCTATCTGTACTCTAATATTTTCATTATAAATATTACTAACATTTATATATAATATCACTAATGATATAAATAAATACTACTAATTTAAGTTGAAACGTCAATGAATGATAGAGAATGGCATCTGTAACTACTAGTATTATCAGGTACTTATTTCACTTTCTCAATTACCAGCATTGCTGTCCACTGACCACCTTCTTAGAAATGTTTAGTAGAGCAGAGCCTTGGCATTTGCTGACCTGTTTAAACTTACTAACTAGTAACCTAAACGTCTATTATATGACATAATTTGTATTTCTGCTATGGTATCTGACTTGTATACATTATAGGACCAGTGATTAGAAATTAATCAGTTAGGTTTTGAGGACACTTAGGTGGCCATCCAACATTTAGGTGTATTTAGTGGGACTCATACATATTTTACAGAAAAAATTTAATGTTAAAACTATTTTTGTGAATGTGAACTCTCATGAAAAGTTCATGAGTAATATTAATGATCTACTTCATCTAGCTTGAGTATTCTTTCCCATTTCCTGCCAGAACCCTTAATGATATGAACTTCTGTGTGGGGGCCCAGTTTAGGTTACCTGCTTGACCCACTACACTTTGACAATTTCTGTCTCCATTCTATTTTTGGAAGAGATGGGGTCTTGCTCAGGCTGGTTTTGAACTCCGGACCTTGAGCAATCTGCCCGCCTCGGCCTCCCAGAGTGCTAGGATTACAGGCATGAGCCACCACACCCAGCCTTCTATCTCCATTTATTTGCTGGCTACAGCCTGAACTTAGTCGTTGTCTCACTCAACACTGATTTCTGTTAAAGAATTTTTTGTCAACTACATCTTTGTTACACGTAAAACATTTTTTCTGCACGCGCATGCAACTTGATCTTTGCCCACATGGATTAGCCAGAAACTCCCATTTTTCCAAGTCCATAACCTATTCTATCTTATGCTACTCTCCAAAATCCAGTCAAGACTCCAAGAATGGTAGGCTACATTCAACTATGCTCTCCAAAAACCCTGGGGAAAACATTCACTCTTTGCTGTTATTGAAGCCTGGTGTAAAAGTTTAATAATCCAAAGTGATTTCTTTTGGATATTGGTACTCTTTAAATCTGTATTTTCTATGATCAGATATAAAATCTATCCATCTTAAAATCATTATTGAGGCCAGGCACTCTGGGAGATCACTTGAGCCCAGGAGTTCAAGACTAGCCTGGCCAACAGCAGACACAGTGTTCCATGCCTGTAGTCCTAGCTACTCGGGAGCCTGAGATCATTTGAACCTAGGAGCTGGGAGACTACAGTAAGCTATGATGTCACTGCACTCTAACCATGGCAACAGAGGGAGACTGTGGCTCCAAAAAAAAAAAAAATTATTTAAATATTAAAGGGCTTGACCCAGAACAAATACTTTACCTGCATAACTATTTTAATATTCATGAAAATGTATATATTATATCCTGGGCATACTAAACAGAAAAAATGTATACTTCTATCATGCCTAACCAAACTTGAAGTTCAGTAGTCTAAACATGACTTAGATCACACATAAGATTTTGATATACTTACAGTATGATATACTATGACAGACTTATCCACTGATCTTTAAAAGAAAAAAGAAACTAGGTGAAAATTTCTATAAGAACAAAGCACAGCATTTGTGTAATTAGTATTTTTAAATCATACATTTCGAATACCCTCTTTTTGCTTATAGATATATGAACTTTTATTCAAAAACTACATGCCATATATAAAATTTATCAGAAAATTATAAGCTTTATTAAAACAATAGCATATGCTATTTATACTACATAGCTATAAACAGAACAAGCATCTGTGATATATACGTCATAATTCTATATCAAGTTAGTAACTCAAAGAGAAAAATCATTACAAGGAAAAGCTATTACTTGCTATTTGGTTTTGTTTCCGATAGCATTGTTCTTTACCATCGATATGGTTGTGCCTTAATAAGTAATCAATGTCTATATGTTTTGATCATGACCCATTTTTGAAAATTATAATTCTAAACTTGATGTTGACTACATGGTTTCCTTTAATGGTATAAAAATTAAAAGGAACCATCTGTGATTATTCTAACAGGGGAAAAGATAATCATGCAAAGAAAAATACAACATTGTTAACAAAGTACATAATTAAAAACAAAGGATAAATATGCTTCTATTTGGCATTTTCCCCTCCTTAAAAACAGTCTTTATGCTACATGACATATGCTGCAAGATCAGAAAACATCAGCAATAAAAGTGGTACAACTCTCCATAAAGCATGATTATTTGTACTTATTATTATTAAAAGGTAACTGATTATTTTCTGACCACAGGATTCATACCTATTAGAAGGTTTAAAATTCTTGTTCAGTAAAGTAGGCCATCCAGTGATGATGATGGATATCGACTACAGAATCTTTGTCATAAGTTCAAATTAAAATTATACTTTAAAAATTCAAATGTAAAATAAAATACAAGATAGGAAATATACAGTTGGCCCTTCATATCTATAGGTTCCACATCTCTGGATTCAACCAGCCACAGATCAAAATATTTTAAAAAATAAATTAAAAATAGCAACAGTAAAAAATATAGATAAAAATACAGAACAACAACTATTTACATAGCATTTACATTGTATTAGGTATTAAAAGTAATCTAGAGATGATTTAAAGTCTATGGGAGGCTAGGAGCAGGTGATATGCAAACACTACACTATTTTACATAAAGGATTTGAACATCCATGGGTTTTGGTATCCTTGCAGGGTCCTGGATCCAATCCCCTGAATGTACTGAGGTACGACTGTAATGTACTCTGGATGTCAAAAAAAGGTTATAGTTTTAAATATGAAATTCCATCTAAAACAGTGAGAAATAATATTGGCAGCTAACATTATTTGATTATGTATATGTGAGACATAACGTATAGATACTCTTATTTGGTCCTAAATTCCTCGAAGTACAAGTTATTATTTACAGAATACCTAAAATTCTTAGGAAAAATTCTATTACTTTTGAGCATCCTTAAAAAAAAAAAAGAGTAATGTCAATACGACAGCAGAACTTCCCCTCACAGAAACATCAATTTAAACAATTATCCACACACAATAATATAATACCTTCATAAGAGGTAAGGAAACCAGGTCTCTAGCTATAGAAACACGGTGGGCAGGCAGGAGCACATTAAACATTCTTTTAAAGATTTTATGAAGACAAAAAACTCAACTGGAACTAATAGATTAAAAAAAAAAAAAATAAGTGAACTGGTCATTGGGTGAATTGGCTTTTGTTTAACTGACCTGGTGCCCAGTTCTGGTTAAGCCTATCTCTTCTAAAGGATGACTGCCAAAATTTCATTTGGAGCTTGGTGGAGCCCAACTATGCTAAGTTTACATAGAAAATGATCTTCCCTTCTTGTACCCATTACATTGTTTCTCAACTATAATTCTCTTTGGTGTCAAAAAACAAAACAAAAAAACTAAAAGGAAATTCTACCTTCTGAAACTACCACTGGATGCAATTAAAACTAATCCTTGATGTATCACTTAAGAAACAGGATCATCGTTAGGGATATTTATAAGCACTGTATTGGGAAGACAGAAATTAGGGTAACAAGCAAGAGTCCACATATGAAAACAGCAAGCAGAAAGGCTGAAAATGTGGAGATGAACAAAAATACAAAGCACCCTGAGTGCCTGCCCAAGGAATTCAGACAATTTCACAGAGCCAGTCATGAGGGGAATAGAATAGGTTCACTTGCTGATGAGGTATAGGAATAAACATAAGCAGCAAAAAAAAAGGCCAAACATGAATAAACTATTAGGAGTACACTGAATCCATGCAAGCAGAATGGAAACTATGAACAGAGACCTGCAAACTTTTGGAGATAGAAAGGATTTTAAACTCACCTCCTACCATCTCTAATTTGATTAATATTGATTCAAAGGAAGACACAATAGGATTTGATAACTCATTAGATTTTGAGGGACAGAAATTAAGAGTAGGGATTAGTTTTCAATATTTTGAGATTTGAGTGTGAGAAACTAGGAGAATAATAGCTCACTGTAAATAGGTACAAAACAAAATACTTTGAAACTACTGAAACAATATAAAACCTCAAAATATTTCCTAAATTGAAGCTGACCCAACACCAAAAACTACAACAGTTTGGTGCCCTTGGTTATATGTTTTCTACCCTGCTGTGGCTCTTCCCAACTTTTCAGTGCACACATTCTACCACAATATGCACTATCATCTCTACCTGACTTCCATTTTGAGTCAGGTACTAGTATTCAAGCCTTTTGATACTACATTCCTACAGTTTCACGGTACTCTAAACCACAACTCTGCTCACTCAAGAACACAAGAGAAAACACATCATATCTAGACAGCTACTGGACAAGAACAACATACACAGTTATGTACTTGATATGGAAGAGCATATAATCACAGTCTCCAGGGAGACTGTGACACTGCAGTGATGTGGTACAGCCACCCATGTCAGAAAGCACACGAAGCATTTTGTTTCAAACTACCTTTGTACAATGGCAAAAAAAAAAAAAAAAAAAAAACCCTAATCAAATTAAATTACCAATAATTATTTCTTGAGGTCAAGTATGTTCCTAAGGCTTAAAGAATTTTACACTTCAGCACTTTTACTTTAAATGTAAAGAGGTAGCAAAAACAAGATAAAAATTACATGAAGAATCTGAAGAGGAAGAGAACATAAGGATGATGTGGGGGGGAGAGAAATGAAGACTGAGGTTAGCATCCAAAACACAAGCCATAAGATCCAGTCCACTTTGCTAAAGGAGAGCTGCAAGTTTGGTTCTGAGCTTCTTCAACAGCAATGCGACAAAGACAACATGATCAGTTACACAATTTAAGATAGAAACACAAACCTAGTGCTTAGGAAAAAAAGACATCAATTCCTTAGACTGAGATCTGACAGGACTATTTCCCTCAAGGTGTTTATAGAAAGGACGCTATGAAACACAAAGTCCTCAACAACTCTTCCTGAAACAACATAAGTTTCAAAGAGTTGTTTTGTAATGCCCCTCAGTATAAGCCAATGGCTAAAAGAGCTCAATTCAGAAAAAAAAGAAATCAGAAAGAAGGGATAAAGTTATATGTTATATAATTCTCTGATGTTCTGGATTACATAAAATACGTGTATATGTAATATTTAATAAATATATATCAATTATATCCCAAACATAATAAATGCTTTACCTCCATTTTCTTATTTAAAATTCTTAACAACTTAATGACAGAAGTGCTATTATATTCTCCATTTTATAATTCAGACAATGAAGCTAGAGAAGACATGGAATAGAACTTGTTCAAGGTCACACAGCTAGTAAATAGCAGAGCTGGGATTAAAACTCAGTTCTATATGATCCTCAAACCCATGTTTCTGAATTTTACACTTGCTAGAATATTTTCCCCCATGAATACATACATTAAAACTGATTCATGATAGGCACATACCCTGATAGTGTTATTCTAAAAACTTAGAAAGCAGATGGCATGGCTATTCAAATTTCACTAAAGCATGTAATTTCAAGCAATACAATATCTGATAGCCCTCCATGACAAACAAATTGCAAATGTCCTTTTAAGTTACTAAATAAACCTATTCAATTGTAGCAATTGCAGGGAGTGTGGGGGGAAAAAAGATGATTTGGATTTTGGGAAAGGTGACCTTAAACCTTCTTCTCATAGTCATTACTGGGCAAGAGAGAGTTGTTCATTAACACCACTGATTTACTACAATAAACTCTCACATATTTACAAAACAGGTAAAATATAAAAAGCATCTTGATGGAGAGAGAGGGAACATTTATTTCTTATCCCTTCTGGAGTAAGAGTCCTGGCTGCCTTCCTCCCTCTCTTGCTTAGCAGGAAAAGAATTACAGAGGACTGGAGAGTTTAGGGGAAGATGCTGGGCCATGTGGCTCAGACCCTTCCAATTTTCTTTCTGATCTGCCTACAGGAGCGTTTGCAGTGGTCTAGGCTGCTAAAGAGCAGCTGGGCAAGTTGGTTGCAGATTGAAAGTCATCTTATCCATTCTGTCATTCTATCTGTCCTGTATTTGTCTTTCATTGGTTTTCAACTCAAAGAGAAGAAAAGAGGGTGTTGTTAAACTTTTAAAACCCCAACAATTGTGGGCATTTTAAAAATTGGTTGCCAAGGAATCTGACCTAGTGAGACTTTATGGAAAGAGGCAGCTTCTATCATAAAGACTGACCCTTCTTGTTTGAATAGAAGCTAATACATATTTGTTTTATCTGGTTGGATCAAGAGAATTAGGGTGGAACAAAAGACAAATTCTGCTAAGGAGCTAGAGCAAAGTTACCAGAAATGTGGAGAAAGTTGAAGGCAAAAAAAATTCCCACATGTTTTGCTACACGACACGTGATGCCATCATAGCTCTGAGGGCCAGTGGAATGTGAGCAGATATGAAAACCCAGGTGCCTTCTGCTATGCCAGACACTGAAAATATCTTCAAAGATGTAAAATAATGCCACTCTTCTCACTATATTTAATTTTTCCTTAAAAAATGTTAATATGCAATAAGTTTATTATTATTTTTAAATGAATTTTAGAATACTTTAGGATTTTCTCAATTTTATTTTCTATTATTATAAATAGTGGTAGATATAACCTACATAAGCAAAGGCTTTTTGGGGTCCTAACTTTTTAGAGTGTTAAGGAATCTTAAGACCAAAAAGTGAGAACCACTGATCTAAATCATGAGTCAGTTCTTTACTTCACCATTAGCACCCATCTCCAATAGCCAGGCCTAGCAAGTTAGAAATGCTTTAAAAGTTTCAGTAGTTCTCCTAAATTTGCTAAAGTTTGAACAAGTTCTAACAACATCCTAGGTCCTCTATCATCTTTACAACCTATTTTTCCGGCCTCATTTCCCTTTATTCCTTTTTATGTTTATCACACATTTTAATCTACTCAAGAATTTCCTGCCTCTTGGAATGCCCACATTTCTGTTCTCCAGTCCTCCCATATCTGCATATGAACTCTATACTGCCTTTTATACAACCACATCTATCTATGCCTTATACACCACACCTTCCTTAGCATACCTCTGACAATCACATTCTGTTGCTCATTCATTTTTCCTACCTAGCCATTTAATCCATCTTTTATCCTACTCACTTATTTTCACTGTCACTCTTGCTCATATGTATCCAATCTATCTTACCAATGACTTTTAGTCACAAATGGAATCTATTATTAACCAATTGGTTTGCTCTTATCTATCGACTCATCAAGTATGGTTTAAACATGTCTGTTAATTCTTCTAAAAAACTAAATTGGAAAGATAAACATTTCCAACTCATTCATTTGCCTGTATGTTTATCCAAATAAACTAAGAATATTCAGAAAAATATTTAATGTGACCTTGAGCAATAATACATACCCCAAATCATTTAACAATGTAAACTTCTATTTATCCAGAATGATTGGGAAAGGTATATTCCAGTTAATTTAATGTTAATTATCTAAGAGTCACATATATACAAACAGACAAAGAATTACAATGCTATAAAATGAACTTAACACAAAACAATATTGAATATCACTTAATACTTCTTCCATGATTTAGAGGGTAAGGATATGTCAGGATCTTGCAGTGTTATTAGGTTATCACCATAAACATCAACTATCGGAAAGAGACTTAAAACATCTTCAAGAGCACAGTGTCTTATATTTCCTTTTATATGCCTTATTGCAACTGGCAGACAGCAGGGCACACAAGAGAACCACAGTTACTTGTTGAATTTCATTTAATCATATGTCAATTAACCTGTCCCCCAAAACAACAGAAGGAAATCAGTTTTATTTGTTTAAATTTTCCACTGATTTAAATTCTGGGTCAGAGGGGAATTACATAAATGCTTTCGATGATAATATTCATCTTTTGAGATGAAAATGCCACATCTAAAACAATGGCAACATAACTAATTATTTGGCTGACTGATAAGAATTGGAGCATATGGAGAAGAGAACCAATAGGCTTAGTCCAGATGTTTCAAGCAGAGGTTAGGAGCCTAAATGTCTTTGCTGAAGCAAAAGCTGCTGTAAAGAGCCATGAATGTGGGGGGTTGGAATGCAATGGCCTGATAGATCAGACAGGAAAGTTTTAGAACATCTATCTAGTGGTGAGAAGGAGAAAACATACAAAAGTATTCAAAATGAAAAGACTATACAATTACCTAACACAATGAAGCTTTGAAAAATAAAAAAAATGAAAATTTCAACAGAGAACTGGAAATCTTAAGTGACACAGTAGACTTGAAAAAATAGCCAAATAGAAATTCTAATACAAAAAATAAAATTAGCAAAATTAAGAACCTCAGTGCACCAGTTTAATATCACATTAGCTGAAGAGGGAATTAGTAAAGGGGATATCATTCAGAATGAAGAACAAGAAACAGAAGAGAAATAGAATAAAAACATAAAAGTGAGAATACAAGACAAAGTCTAAGTGAGAAGGTATAACCTGCATTTAATTGGAGCCCCAGATTAGAGGAGGAAAGGGACAGAGGCAATATTTAAAGAGATAATAAATAAGAATGTCCTGTCGACGGAAAAAAGCCAAACTCTGTAAAATAATTTTAAAGAGATTTATTCTGAGCCAAATTTGAGGACCATGACCCGGAGCCACTGCCAAGAGGCCTTGGGCAAGTGGACTCGCTGTGGCTGGGTTACAGTTCAGTTTTATACATTTTCAGAGAGACAGGGGTTACAGGCAAAGTCACAAATCAATACATGAGAGGCATATATTGGTTTGGCCCAAAAAGGTGGGACATCTCGAAGCAGGGGCTTACAAGTTATAGGTGGGTTTAAAGATTCTTTGGCTGGCAATTGGCTGAGAGAGTTAGACTTTATCTAGAAGACCAGAAAGGATATGCTTACTTTAAGATAAGGGTATGAACACTCTGGGAGGTCCAGACAGGAGGACATTTTAAATTTACAATAGGCACCTGCTAGGATGCTTGAGTTAAGGTATTTTAAATTTGTGATAGGCATCTGCTAGGATGCTAGAGTTAAGACAGGGGCTTCCTATCTTTTAATGTTAATGCCATACCAGAATCAGGTTGGGAAGTAAACCACCACTTTATTTGGTTAACAAAAAGCCACTTAGTAGGAATTTACCATTTGTCAGCCTGACCCAGCTGGCCTCCTTAGGAAAGAGTTTTTAGCAAAAGAAAAAGATCAGAGTTCAGTCCTTAGTCCCAAAACTGATCAAACATCATTCCACAGATTTAAGAGGCTCAATGAATTCCAAGCAAACTAAATAAAAAGAAACTCATATGTAAGTACATCAAAATAAATGTGCAGAAAACCACAAATAGAAAATTTCACATTTACCTATTAGATAAACAGAAAAATAGAACAGAGTAACAGGCTGAGAAACAGACCCACATGTACACGGTCAGTGATTTCTAACAAGGGAGCATAACAAAATGGCGAAGAAAAGATAGTCTTATCAATAAATGGTGCTAAGACAACTGGATAGCCATAAGGAAAGAAATGAAACTGGATTCCTACTGCATATCATACACATAAGTCAATTTTGTGAAAGGTAAAACAATGAAGGTTTTAGAAGATCATACAGGAAAAGATCCTCATGACCTCAGAACAAAAAGAAACTAACTACAGGCCGGGTGCAGTGATTCGTGCTTATAATCCTAGTACTCTGGGACACTGAGGCAGGAGTATCGCTTGAGCTCAGGAGTTTGAGACCAGCCTGAGCAAGAGTGAGACCCGTCTCTACTAAAAATAGAAAAATTAGCCAGCATCACGGCATGCGCCTGTTGTCTCAGCTATTTGGGAGGCTGAGGCAGGATGATTACTTGAGCCCAGGAGTTTGAGGCTGCAGTGAGCTATGATGACACCACTATACTCTACCTGGGGCAACAGAGCAAGCAAGACTCTGTGAAAGAAAGAAAGAAAATAAAGAGAAAGAAAGAAAGAGAGAGGAGAGAAAGAGGAGAGAGAAAAAGAAAGAGAGAAAGAAAGAAAAAAGAAACTGACTGTTAAATTATGAACCGTGGGACGTGCCTCATGGGCGGTCCTTGGGCGGGCGCCGCTCCGCTTCCCTCCAGCCTCAGAAGTCGGTGCCAGAGGCCGTAGGAGGCAGGCAAGCGCATCTCCATGGTCTAGAAAAACACTGCAAAAATGTCCCTCTATCCATTTCTTGAAGACTTGAAGGTAGATAAATTAATTCAGGCTCAGGCTGCCTATCCTGCAAATCCTGCCAACCCAGCAGTTTTATCAGAAGCTTCTGCTCCTGTCTCTCAAGATGGAAGTCTCTATCCTAAACTGTATCCAGAGCTCTCTCAATACATGGGCCTAAGTTTAAATGAAGAAGAAATACATGCAAATATGGCCATGGTCCCTGGAGCACCAGTGCAGGGGCAGTTGGTAGCAAGACCTTCTAGTGTGAACTATATGGTGGCTCCTGTGACTGGCAATGATGTTGGAATTCGTAGAGCAGAAATTAACCAAGGGATTTGTGAAGTCATTTTGTGTAAGGATCAAGATGGAAAAATTGGACTCAGGCTTAAATCTATAGATAATGGTATATTTGTTCAGCTAGTCCAGGCTAATTTTCCAGCCTCATTGGTTGGTCTGAGATTTGGGGACCAAGTACTCCAGATCAATGGTGAAAATTGTGCTGGCTGGAGCTCTGATAAAGCACAGAAGGTGCTCAAACAGGCTTTTGGAGAGAAGATTACTATGACCATTCGCGACAGGCCCTTTGAACGGACAATCACCACGCACAAGGATTGTACTGGACATGCTGGCTTTATCTTTAAAAATGGAAAAATAACATTCATAGTCAAAGATAGTTCTGCAGCCAGAAATGGTCTTCTCACAGAACATAACATCTGTGAAATCAACGGGCAGAATGTCATTGGATTGAAGGACTCTCAAATTGCAGACATACTGTCAACAGCTGGGACTGTAGTTACTATTACAATCATGCCTGTTTTTATCTTTGAACATATTAAACGGATGGTCCCAAGCATTATGAAAAGTCTGATGGACCACACCATTCCTGAGGTTTAAAAATCATGGCGCAACAAAAATGTAGCTGAATTTCTCCAGTTTCCTTCTTTGGCAACTTCTGTATTATGCACACGAAGCTTTCCCAGAGCCAGCGAGCATATGCTGCATGAGGATCCTTCTATCTTACATATGGCTGGGAATCTTACTGTCTCATCTGATATCTTGTTCAGATTTCAAGATAGTGGTAGCCTTATCCTGGTTTTACAGATGTGAAACTTTCAAGAGATTTACTGACTTTCCTAGAATAGTTTCTCTACTGGAAACCTGATGCTTTTACAAGCCATTGTGATTAGGATGACTGATACAAGCTTAGCTCTATGTCAGAACCAGTCACCTTTCTCCTAGGTAATGAGCAGTACTGTTCATATTACTTTAGTTCTATCTTATATTTGCATTTTTAACATGTTACCATGTACATTTAGAATGATTGCCTTTGATGTTTTCTGTTTTGATGTTTTCGTCGTTTTTTTAGTTCTGTGTGTGTGTGTGTGTGTGCGCGCGCGCGCGCGTAAAACACCTATTAAGAACACTGGTTTCATTCCATGCAAGCATTATACAGTGTATGTAGGTTGCAAGAGACTGTGATGATTGTCGTTTAAATTTTAACTACCTTCTCTTAATATGCTTGAACTGTCGCCTTAACTATGTTAAGCATCTACACTAAAAGCCAAAATATAATTATTGCTGCCTTTCTAAAACCCAAATGTAGTTCTGTAATAAACCGAAATGTGTACTAAAAAAAAAAAAAAAATTATGAACTGTGAAAAGGCAAACCCACAGGATGGGAAAAGATAGTTGCAACAACTATAACCAACAAATGGTTCAAATATAAAAATACAAACAAATCAGTAAGAAAAAGATTACCCATAAAAAAAGAAAACAGGCAGGAGACATAAACAGATACTTCATAAGAGAAAATACCTATGACCAATAAACTTCTAATAAGGTTCCAATCTCATTGTCTTAAGGAAATGCAAATTAGAATAACAATAAGATAACAAACACTACACACCCATCAGAATGGCTAAAATTTAAAAGATCCACAATACCAACTATAAGCTAGGATATGAAACAATACTGTTATATATAGAACTATTAATTGTTTCACCATTTGGAAACAATCTGATATTATATCTGCCAAAGTTGAAAACACAAATACTCTATGATCCAGCCACACCATTGCTATATAGGTATTTATTCTACAGAAATCCATGAATATGTGCACCAGGAGATACAATATAGTCATAGAATTATTATTGCAATGCTCCTAAACTGGAAACAATCCATATATCAACATTAAAATGGATCATATAGTATATCCATGCAATGGAATATTACACAGCAATGAAAATCAACAGATCACAGCTACATACAGTAATATGAATTAATGTCACAAGTGTAATGTTGGGTAAAGGAAGCCAGAGACAAAATAATTCATATTGTACGATTTAAGTCAGTTTAAAAGAAAAAACAGTATTGCATATGACCTGAGGTGTTGTCAACAGAAAGGGGCACTTGGAAGGGACTGGAGGGGATTCTGGGCAGAACCAGCAATGTTCTAGTTTGACCTGAATAGTGGTTACATCATAGCAATTCATCAAGCTGTTCTTTTATGCTTTATGTACTTTTCTGTATGTCTGTTCTATTGTATATAAAAATGGCTTAATAAAATTAAATTAAATAGCTTACCCCGAGACCAGCATCCGTCCATCATGGGAAAAAGCACAAGCCAGAACAGGAGCACAGTGCCCACTCAATGTACTTTTATATTTTAATTCAAAACCTGCAAATAACAAGGTAAGAAAAATTAGCAAGCTGACCATGCTTAGACTTTATTTTAAAGTCAACACTATTCCACTTACTTATTCAATAATCTTTGAGTGCCTAAAGGACACAAAAATTAAAAATCCTTATGCAGCTCAGGTATCTATACATGTAAGCAAATAATTGGAATGCAGTATGATTAAGTAGTTTCAAAAGTACAGCAATGGACTTAATAATGTGCTCAGCAAAGGCTAGATGGGGTGATTTTATGACTAATAAAATATTTTTAAACATTTAAACCATACAATTTTAGTATCTGATAAAAAGAAAATATGTCAATTGTCCAGAAGACTAAAAAAATCTAATGCTTACATTTTTTTAGACATTAAGAAAATAAATTCTCATTCTATAAAAACAAATGGCAATTTATATATCTTGTAATTCCAATATATCTTTATAACACCCCTACAAAGTATGAACACTAAAATCCTTTTTATACTTTCTAGAATTACTGAAAATAAATATCACAACTATTTTAAAGGTAAACTGAGGGAATTCAATATATTTTGGTGACAACCAATAAAAATAATTACTAAGAAGTTGGGAGGGTGATGTACCAAAAAACTCTTAGAAATGACAAATGAATTCAGTAAAGTTGCAGGATACAAAATCAATATACAAAAATCAGTAGCATTTCTACACAGGAAGAACAAACTAGCTGAAAAAGAAATCAAGGCAGCAATCCCATTGCAATAGCTATTTTAAAAAACCCTATAAAACACTGATGAAAGAAATCAAAGGGCATACAAACAGAAGACCCACACATCTATTTACTCCTCCTACAAATAAGCAATTCAGGTACAAATGATGATAAATGCTTTATGAAAAAGTTGTAACTATATATTTACAAACTGTTACATGTTTTTTAAAAAAGAGTCAGTGTAGAAATATTTCCCAACAAATGTATGAAAGTCTTTACTTCTGAACAATTATTAAAGACATTGTATTTAGGACATCCACATGAATGACCATTTATAGCTGCTTACTAGAATTTTACTTCTGGTAAAGAACAAAGTAGAAGGAAGAGGTGGGATAGACAAGAGAAGGACAGGAACTCTTACTCTCACCAGCATGTCACCCATTAAAATTACTAAACATAACTAATAGGCAATAAAACTAAAAGGAATGTATTTATTTGCTGGTAGTAGGCTCTTCTCCGTACACTAGCACAATTAGTAATAAAAATGTAGTTTGTGATTTAACCAAAACTTAGTAGGTAACAAATAATATTGTGAGGCATCTGAATCAAGATGGCCAACTGACCACAAAATTCAGTTCTCATTAAAATGTTAGAGGGAATAAAGATATAAATGTACATTATGAAGAAAGGGAAGGGGCATCAACAACTGATGCACCAGAAACTGAAAGCAACTTTGGAAAAGCAGAAAGCAGATGAATTGATGAGGCAGTAGAGCAGAACAGCATCCAGAGTACAAGGGAGAGGGCTAGAGCCAAATAGAAAGTTGTTCTCCCCTAGAAAATGCCCCATGACTTAGGACTATCAACAGCCAGGAGAAAATAAAATTAACATGACACAAACATGACTTGAAAATAGAAAAATTAACTGAAAAGTTGATATGTGGATGACTCAATGTCTACCTCCAATCCCTCCCCAACCCCACCCTTAGTACGATGCACTAAAGTTGGGTGCTTATCCCCTGGCAAAATCTTTCTAAGGAAAATAACTGCCTAGGGAGCTCTTGGACAACATGGACATCCACTCTTTCAAGCCTCCAAACCCTCCCCTTTAGGGCCAACTACCTACCTCCTCATACTAAAGGGAAGCCAGCAACAACAAACTACCAACATGCACAGAGCTTCTAAACGTCTTATTATTGTCTACTTCTTAAATGTAAATGGAATATTAAGCAAAAAAGGAGACCAAGAGCAAACGAAGATGATCAGGAAACAGAAGGGAACTTAAAAACAAAACAAAAACTCCTAAGTGATATCCTGAGAGTTTTGAAATCTTACATTTGTAAAATAAAAGGACATTATGAAAAGGAAACAAAGAGGATGATCAGTTTTTAGAAACTGAAAATATGACTGATGAGATAAAAAATTCAAAAGAAGGTTAAAGGAAAAAGCTGAGCAATTTTTCCATAAAGTAAAAAAAAGAGGTAAATGTGGGGAAAACAAAAAGACATAGCACTCAATTAATGGGAGTTATAAAAAGAGAAGTAGAGAAGGAATTATTAAAGAAATAACATAAAGGAATACTGTATTCCAAAACTGATTATAAGCTTCTTAACTGAAAGGGTCGCCTGAGGGAATAGTACAATGCATGGGGGAAAGATCCACACACTGTCAAACGGCAGTAACAACAGTGAACGAAAAAATAAATAGTAATACAAACAATGTTTACAGAAATTGCAAACCACCAAAAGAGTGGAAAATTAAAAGTAAAGTGGTCACCTCTGGTGAGCAGGAATGTGCATAGTAGCAAAAGGGGTAAGGTCATAATCAGCATGAGCACCTGATTTTTAAATCGTGTATTACTTTGATCAAAAGATTCTTAAACATATTTTTATAATTACTTTTAGGTATCCAGGATACCTTAAGTAAAAAGATTAAACAGAAATTTTATCCAGAGGACAAATAACTTTTGGGAAGTACCAGCTATATACATACCTAAGACATGGGTAAAAGAAACCACCCAAATTTTGATTTGGCAATCTTGACCACATGATGCTAATCGAAAAAACTGGAGGTCTTGTTCTCCATCTAAAAATTTGTTAAAAATAAATACAAAGAATAAATCATTTAAACCCAAAAATTTTCAATTTATTATACTGAGATTTGTTAATTCTATTCACTTAAACAAGCAATATTAGTTAATGTACACCATCTAGTGAAATGTCAATTAAAGAATTTCTTTTAAACAAGGTACTACATAGGATTATAACTTTAGTCCTGAAGTTGCTACCATAAAATGCCTTTTATTTACCTTATAGTACGAATATAGCTCAAGACTACAAGTACCAATATTCAACCACTAAGAAGAGTACCCTCCAACTCCATTTTAGAGCCTATCACTAGCATTGATTAGAAAATTTAGGAAGAAAAGTCATCTATGATTAAGAATGTTAAATGCTTAATCATTCTTTTCAAACATTCTTAATCAACTTTTTTTTAGGACATCAATTTCTTAAAAGCCTGGTCTATAATTCACATGGAATAGTAATAGGAACTTTTCTCCATTTGATTTAATCATGACAAAGGCTGAAATTATATTAATCCAAAATAACATCAACTCAGCCCTTTTGGTCAAAAATATACAATTTAGGGAAAGCAGTGAGTTAACTGGTGTTACAAAAACTCTGCTAGTTTGTGCTGAAGGTAATTTCAGTGTATAATTATATATCTACTAAATGAAGTTCCTAAATATGTGTAAATAATGTAAATATTGGTATCATCAGCTCAATTTTACAGGCATTCCACCACACACCACAGATTAGCTTCATCAAAGGTAGTTTGACACTTATATGCAGGAAACACAAGAAAGCTAATACACATCTTAAGATTGCACTCTGTTTTTCACATATTCAGTATAGAGTATTTAATTTATATACCTAGGTATGTAAATTTTTTATAAGGATGCTCTCTGCCTCAGTGAAAGTACACACAGTTTATTAACAAATTAACTTCCATTTCACTGAAAGTTTTTCTAAGTCCACGGGATTTCCACATTTCAACAGCACTTCTGTTTTTGTAGCACAGATTCACCCGAAGTGTATTCTTTCTATGAAAGATTTTTTTTTTTTTGAGACAGAGTCTCACTCTGTTGCCTGGGGCTAAAGTGCTATGGGGTCAGCCTAGCTCACAGCAACCTCAAACTCCTGGGCTCAAGCAATCCTATTGCCTCAGCCTCCTGAGTAGCTGGGACTACAGGCATGTGCCACCATGCCTGGCTAATTTTTTCTATATGTTTTTAGTTGTCCTGCTAATTTCTTTCAAAAAAAATTTTTTTTTCCAGTAGAGACAGGGTCTCGCTCTTGCTCAGGCTAGTCTCGAACCCCTACGCTGGAGCGATCCTCCCACCTCAGCCTCCCAGAGTGCTAGGATTACACTGTGCCCAGCCTCTATGAGATCTTGATGGATGTAAGCAACTCCTAATAATCATTAAGTCTTTTTAAGGTAAAACATTTTACTCAATAAATGACTGAGTAAAATATTTAAATATCAGACCTGATTAGCAAAACTTTCTTTTCACTGTTTCTTGACTAAAGAGTCTTTGAATTCTGAAGTTCTTTAAGTAGTAAGAATTCATCTAAAACAAAGGAAAATTATGGAGCTTAAAATATGCCTATGTTTGGTATCTAAATATAATATTTAGAAATAGAGTTTTCAGAAAAAATATCTAAATTGTATTAATAACCTAAACCAAGATTTATTGTTTAAAAACTGGAGAGATTGATCATTTTTCACTGGGTGCAAATGGGATTATTTGTCCTTATTTAAGCAAAATGTCACAAGTCAATGTCATAACTATTTATAGATAGTAATATCAAATTAAATGACAAATTAAAATTATATACTTTGTCTTTTAAGTAAATACAGTAGTTCTCACAAATTTCTATAAATCACTTTTAAAGCATGTATCAATCTGTTTCAGGGAACTTACACATAAGGTTAACATCTATGTCAACAGAAGCCCTAAACAAACTAAAAAAGCACAGATTAAAATTATACTGAGAGAAATGTATACTGAAATATGCTCTAAAGGCAGGGCAGGGATATGGATATTACTTATTTTAGAATCTCACATAGAATTCTCTGCCTGTTTTAGTGAATCTTTCCTGACTCCAGAAGCTACTGATCTCTCTAAAGGCAAAACAAAAAACCCTAGTTTTACTCTAATATTAACTAATATTAATAATAATGGTATTTTTATTGGAAATCTATCTCTAAAAAAAATACAGAAAAACAAAAACTTTCTGATTCACCATATCTATTTAAAACCAAGAGATTGTATCTATATTCAGGAGGCTTTTTTCCTTCTTTTTGAAAAAGTAATTGTGTTGCCAAACATCTTATTTTATAAATTTAATCTTCGGAAGATTAAGTTAGCAAATGGACAATGCGGCATCTGTTTCCAATTTTTTTTCCAATTTTTTAATGTCATGTTTTTAAACATGTGTATTTTTAGAAATCATAGTAAAACCAACAGGGTTAATCCTCTAAGTTGCCATATTCAAAGAATATGAATCTTTCGTACCAAGTTAAATCACCCCCTACATATACAAAGAAGGTGAATTCCCCACGTATTTCTTCATGATTTCATTTTGATCCAAAAAGAGAGAAGGATAATCCCTTAAAAGGAATAAATTAGGAGGGCTCCTCGCTTTACTAATGATGAAATAGAATAAAAGAAAAGTCATGTACAGTACAAATTACGAATAGGAATTTCAAGTGCTTAAAAGAGTAAAATAACTAACCAGAAACTGGCTGTGAAGAAAAATCGCAGCAGGTAATTCCAAGATCATGCGCTTTTTCACTATGCAGACACCTCATTTTATCATCCCACACTGTTAAATCTCCACATGAGGAGCCAGTGACAAGGAGGTTTCCATTAGGAGAAAATGCACAGGCCACTAAGGAACCATCCTTAACACTACCACATCTGAAACAAAAGCAAAAAAAGGGGTTTTCATTTCAGAGCATCTTTTACTTTATATTATTACACAATTTCTAACAGCAGCTTGATATTGTAAAAAGAATAAATGGCTATCAAAGAACTAGAGAGAAAGGACAAATGATGACAATTTCTGTAGACACAGAAATATCATTTGTATGCTAGAAACTGAAATATGCTTTCTAAAAGTAAGGGAGGATTTACACATCTTAATATGCCTACATGTAATTATAGGGCTCCAAACCAAAGTTAACATATCTTCATATTTTGCCATGTGCCAAGTCAGTATAAACACATTAAAATCTACAAAACTTAAAAAAAGCAATGACAACCAACAATATCAAATGTAGCCAAATATTTTTTTTAAAGGTAAGATAAAACTATTTTTTTTTTTTTTTTTTGAGACAGAGTCTCACTTTGTTGCCCAGGCTAGAGTGAGTGCCGTGGCATTAGCCTGGCTCACAGCAACCTCAATCTCCGGGGCTCAGCGATCCTACTGCCTCAGCCTCCCGAGTAGCTGGGACTACAGGCATGCGCCACCATGCCCGGCTATTTTTTTGTATATATATTTTTAGTTGGTCAATTAATTTCTTTCTATTTTTGGTAGAGACGGGGTCTCGCTCAGGCTGGTTTCGAACTCCTGACCTTGAGCAATCCGCCCGCCTCGGCCTCCCAAAGTGCTAGGATTACAGAGATAAAACTATTTTTGTTGAAAAACATGTTATTGGGGTCAAACGTTCTTTCACCTTCGATATTAAAATCACAGAAGAAATGCTAAGGCTTTTCATCTCATCTGGAAATATAAATTCTTTATGAAAAGAAAATGCTGTGAACAAGTTAAAATTATCTTAGGAAGACAGGTAAGCACTGTGCTGACGATATTACTTTAATTAGGAAAAATAGGCTGTTAACACAACAATTAGTGCCGTGTCCCAATCCAGCAGGGCATCATTTTTATAATACATCATTAACTACTATACTTCAGGGATAGTTAGGCTATAGAGCCAGAAGTCATCACAGGTAAATAGGGGGGAAAAAAAGTTTCCTTGACTACCAGGTGTTACTTCATTCATATGAAACATTTTGTTTTTTCCGTGCTTTTTCTCTAAACTAAGGTTTATTTACACAACTTAAAACATATCACCTTCTTTAACTGGAAGACTAAGCTTAAGTGGCATCAGTTGTTGACCAGCTGGCATTTGTGCTCTGAAAGATATTGGGAGGTAGGAGTAGGGGGAGGTACATTAGGCTATTTTAGTTGAAAATACTTAAATGGACTTTATGGTTTATGGTCTTTAACGTACTTAATGTCACCTGAAAGTGGCTGAAATGGTAACTTTTGTTATGTATTTTTTATCACAATATAAGTAAAAGTGTATGATTATAATGTTTGTTGGTATGTTGCAACATACCATTACCAATGTAAATTAACTGATGTATTTTTTCCAAAAATTTTGCTGAGGTTTTTTATTTATTTTTTTTTAGAAATGATAAATAACACACCATCATACTAGTCACGAAGTTCTTTCTTCTGGTCTTGGCCATTCACCCAGCAAGAAGGAGAAATAACCTGTTACCTCTTAAGTGAGATTTACCTATCATTACTTTATTATTGAGAACACTTGAGCCACAAGTGACACCAATAAAGCCTAAAATCACTGAACCTTATTCAAAAGACTGTTCTCTTTACCTAATTCTTATAGTAAAAATCCAGAAAAGTCTAACAAGATTAACTCTTATTTTAAAAAAGACTGGAATTTAAAACTCTCAGAGCCAAGGAAATCCACTAAAAGATTTTTTTTTTTTTTTTAGATTTAGGCTCTCAATCTCAATCTGTCACCCAGGCTAGAAGAATTCAGTGGTACAATCACAGCTCACTACAGCCTCAAACTCCTGGGCTCCAGCAAAACTCCTGCCTCAGCCTCCCAAGCTGCTAGGATTACAAACACACTCAGCTAATTTTTTGTAGAGATGGAGTCTCACTATGTTGCCCAGGCCAGTCTTGAACTGCTGGTCCTCCAGTGATCCTCTGGTCTCGGCATCCCGAAGTGAGGGGATTATAGGCATGAGCCACCACACGCAGCCCCAGAATCATATTAAACACCTCTCAAGTTTTTTGACCTTTAGAAGACAGGTTAAAATATTTTTCCTTGTGCTGTCTGAAAACTATCTGCTTCCTAAAGTCATCAAAATATTTTGCTTTCTGTGTGTGTGTGTGTTTTATACTTAGTCAATAAGATTAAAACCAGGAAGGATTTAAATACTCATACCTATATAACTTGTAGGACTGTGCATTCCACAAAACAATAGTTCCATCAGCTGCCCCTGAGGCCACACAAGTGGAGTCTGGGGAAAACTGGCAAATTCTCACAGGGCTACCACTAGGCTGTTCCATCACTGCCAGAGTCTGTCCATTCTGAGTATTCCATAGGACAGTGGTTCCATCTGTTGAACATGAAGCCAAAATATGTCCTGAAGGGGAGAAACAGCAGCAGTGGACAGCATAGGTGTGAAACTTCAATGGAGAGTGTGGCAGTTCAGTAAAGTCACTTAAGGAGTACAGACGAATTGTTTTGTCCAAGGAGCAAGTAGCCAAAAGGGAAATGGAGAAGGCACAGCAGTTGACATCATCACCATGATCACCTAATGTGTGAATTAGTTTCACCATGTTCTTTATTGGAAGTAAAACAGCCTGTAATTTTTAAGTAGATAAAGGTTACTTCATCCTAGGAATCAGAAAAAGCAACTCAAATCCATATAAAAAGGCCAAAATCAATGTAAGAATTTGTTCAATGAAAGCTCCTATAATATTTTTAAAGGACAATCTATTGCTTGGGATAAGGATAGCTTGGAAAAATAAAAAACATTTATAAGACTATAACCTCTGATGACGATCACAGTCACCGCTCCCATGCCAATGAAGTTTCACAACTCCTGAAAAAGAAACTTCGCAAATAACTTCAAACTGATTTGATGTTGAACTTTCAAAACCTAAGGTATTTATTTCACCTTCGAAGCCTTTCCCATAACTAATTAATTCCCAACACTGCCTCATTCCAGATCTAATCTCCAACTCAAACTGTCTCAGCTGCTCCTTCCACAGGGTGGAGCCAAGGCTATTTGCTCTGCTTTTAAGATGCAACTGTAGGATTTGCTCATAAAAAACAAAGGTCTCACTGAAAATTTAAGCGGCAGTGTTGAAAGCTACCTTGTCATGGTTTGTCATCTTGCCTGATAAAGAATAAAATGATATAAAAGATGTGAGATGAGGCACTTACTATAGATAAATCAAGGAAACCAAGGGAAGAAAACCAGAGTGGCAAAAAACAGACTTCACCAGAGTGCACTCAAGAATAAACTTACAGATTCAAAATAAAATCCAAACTCCTCACCATGGCAAATAAAACAATCTGTGATCTGATTCTTGCCTGCCCACTTCTCAGACCTCAACTCTTGCCACTCTCCCTCATTTCTTTCCATCCTCCCCAGTCAAATTCATCCCAGTCTTCTACTTTCAGAAAAGCAGTTTTCTTGAAATGAAATGCTCTTCCCTCTGCTCTTGGGACCCTATTTGCCATTCAGATCTCAATTTCAGTGTCCCTCTTCAGAGAGGGTTTCCCGAAAGTAGCCACTCTCTAGGCTAGCACATTCTAATTCTCAGCATAGCAATTACCACCATCATCAGATATTTGTTTTCTTCCCCAAATTCCAAAGGAGTATTTTATCGATCTTGTTCATTTCTGTATCCATACTATGCAAAACTGTGTCAAGCACCTAACATGTTCAAATATTATTTATTTTGTTCAAACCCAACTGAATTTCAGCCTTTAAATATTATACATGAAATACAATATGAAATGATTAGAAAATAAATCTACCAAAATCAAAATATATACATATATATCTGACAATGAAAAAATGGTTTGGAATGAGACAGTAGTCAGCCCTGAAGGAATAGGTATAACCTTGACTTGTGAAATTCATGATATTTTGTTCTAATCTTATATAAGGAAATCTCTACCAAAAAAAAAATATTTACAAATGGAACATGCCTTTCCCACCTTCACTTAATACCCAAAAGTTCAGCCTCCTTTTGTCAAACAAACTCTAATAAGGTCTAAAAAACAAACACGAAAGTTTCTGGGAGATTATCGCCTGTATTACTGCACTGAAAACAACAGATCAGGTGGTGCTTTCTGGAGAACTCCCAAAATCCCAACTGTGCAAGTGCAGACACAGGTGATTTTTCCAAACAAACTCTGGCTTTCACTCCCCTGGGGCACTCAGCTCCCTCTGCAGCTTGAACTCGGACGGCTGGAAACACGGAGGCCACCGCCAGCTTAAGAGTTTTGAAAAGCGCCCTCAAGCCTACGCCTACCTGCCGGGGTGTGGGCGTCCACTCGGGCCTCCGCTGTCACGCCACACGCTGACCCCCCGGGCGAACCGGGCCAACCGGCCAGTGTAAACACATGCATCCCCACCCAATGCGAACCAAACCCGAACTAGCCAAGCACCCCCACGACAAAGCCCGCGACTTATCCCCCCCGCGCGAAATGACCAAAGATGCGCCCAACTCTCGGAGCCCGCCAGGCCTCTGCGGACCGAGCGGCCCGAGGCAAAACGGCGGCCTCAGACGCCGGGTCAGCCCGCGGCGGGCCCGGGCAGCGCCCAGCTGGGGCTTCCACCGACGCCGGCAGGCCCCCGCCAGCCCCGGGGCGGCACGACCGCGCCGCGCAGCCCTGAGGGTCCCGGCCCGGCCCTACTGCGCGCTTAAAACAGGATTCCAGGGAACGGGAAATTCAGACGCCCCGGGCGAGGCGGTTCCCGCACCTGCCGCCGCCGCTAAGCTGGTCCGTGGGCGCGGCCCCTCTCACCTGGAGGACCCGGGACCCGCCAGATCCGCCCTCAGGTGCCCCGCGGGCAGCGCGGGTCACGTGACGTGGAGGTAAGGCGGGCGGGGCCGACGCCCGCGCAGACCTACAAATAGAGCGGACAGGCCCCGCCCACCCGGCGGGCGCGGCTGCGCATGCGCGACCTTCGGCCCGGCCTAGACGGTCTCGCTCCAGCTGGCTCTGGGGTCAAGCTGAGATGACTTAATGAGGACCTTCAAGTGCAATTTTGTCTGTTGATGAAGCTGAGGTCCCAAGACCTGGTGAACGCCTAAAATGTAGTTTCAAAGGTGGCACTGCATCAACTGTCCTGTTATCCCAGTTTAAAGTTTTTAAGTTTCTTTCCTCTCCTCCCTGCACTTGGTTCTCCTCTGAGACCAGTCTCCCGGACTGCTGGCGTTATCTGTCAAGCCCAGCCCTGCGCGGTCCATGGCGCGGTGTCTTCTGCCATCGCCTCTGTGCTCAGGGTTCCCAGAGCTCTCTTTCCAGGGCTGGCTGCTCGCCCCTGGGCCCCAGTCACTGGTCTCCTGGTATCATCAGAGCCCGATGTGTCTTTCTCCCAGCCTTCCCAAGTGTGTCTCCGTGCCCCATGGGTAGGCTGTGGGTTCCATGTGTAACTGACTACAAAGTGGTCCTGTCAGTCCCTTTTGAGATTAAAAAGTTATCCAAAAAAAAAGTTCCTAGGCATGTTACCACTTGTTAACTAAATGCACTACATCGGCTAGGACTGTATTCAGATGAAAATCAAAGATACAGATAGCTTTTAATATATTAAAATATATTATACATATTTTATATTTAATATTTTATAAAATATATTTTATTATATATTATATAATATAATATCTTATAATGTTCTTTAATTTTTAATCCATGAGGAAACATTAAAAACATGTCAGCCTAAGGAAACCAAAATCATATCTTTGAAGAGTAATAACCTAAAATGCTTATATTTAAAGATGAATGCCGGGTGCGGTGGTTCACGTCTGTAATCCTAGCACTCTGGGAGGCCGAGGTGGGCGGATTGCTCGAGGTCAGGAGTTCGAAATCAGCCTGAGCAAGAGTGAGACCCCGTCTCTACTATAAATAGAAAGAAATTAATTGGCCAACTAATATATATAGAAAAAAATAGCTGGGCATGGTGGCGCATGCCTGTAGTCCCAGCTACTCAGGAGGCTGAGGCAGGAGAATGGCTTGAGCCCAGGAGTTTGAGGTTGATGTGAGCGAGGCTGACGCCACAGCACTCACTCTGGCCTGGGCAACAAAGCGAGACTCTGTCTCAAAAATAAATAAATAAATAAAGATGAAATTGAGATCATTGGAAATTATTTGTAATAAAAAAGACTACAAGGAAAGGGAACATCAAAATTCATGGTTTGGGGCCCAGCGTGGTGGTTCATGCCTCTAATCCTAGCTCTCTGGGAGACCGAGGTGAGAGGATTGCTTGAATTGAGGAGTTTGAAACCAGCCTGAGCAAGAGTGAGACACATCTTACCCAAAAAATAGAAAAATTAACCAGGTGTGGTAGTGAACGCCTGTAGTCTCATCTACTCAGGAGGCTAAGGCAGGAGGATCCCCTTGAGCCCAAGAATTTAAGGTTGCAGTGAGCTGCGATGATGCCACTGCACTCTAGCCAGGGCAACAGGCAGACTCTATCTCAAAACAAACAAAAAACAAACAAAAAAATTCATGATTTTGTGAAGCTCTTGTGATTTTTAAATTAACAGAGTACATCATGATTAAGACTTTCAACACCTAATTATGTTCCAAAATACTATCAAAACAGTATTTTTCTAAAAAACAGATTTTTGATTGTATAAATAAAATAGTAAATACAAACATGAAAATAAATAGCCAATAATCACATCACTCAAAGATAACCCACTCGGAGATATTTCCTCTCAGTCTTTCACTCATATCAATAATTTTACAAAAAGTCCTGCGTGCTGCCTTTTTAAACATAAACTTTTATCATGAGCATTTTCCATGTCTAAAATTCTTCATTGGCTTTATTTTTCTGCCTAATGGTCTGCATGAAAACATACCATAATTTATTTAACATCTTCCCTGTTAATGGATGTTTGTTTCGACATTTTTGCTCTCGGTATAAATAATGCTGGACTAAACATCTTTGTACATAGACCTTTATCCACATTTATGAATATGTACTTAGGATGTAATTAAATAGAAACGGAATTACTTGGCATGAGGGTGTAAAGATTCTTAAGTATTACTATACTGCTAATGAGAGAGGTAGTATGTTTATGCTCTCAGCAACATGTAGTTGTGCCTGTCTCTCCATATTCTTGCCCAACTTGAGTAATGCCTTTTTTATCTTCACTAATTTGATGAGCAAAATTGGTTATAATATTCTTCAAGTAAAATGTGTAAAAGAAATCCCTGCCTACAAATGCCAGCAGTTTAGCATGTGACCTCAAGGCCAATATGGTCAGCTTTGCCTGTCCTACAGACAGGCATTTTCAGAGAAGGAAGCCCTGTTGTAGCTGGTCTCCAATCTACAGGTTTGCAGTTTGGGAGACAACTAAAATATCTTGCCAATATACCATAGAAACAGAATTTATAAAGATAAATTTATAAGAATTGATAGAGATCTTTGATCACATGAGTGAACTGGTTATTTTATCTCACAGGACAGAGTGTTAAAGTAGTTGGACCTTTGACTCGGAATATTAAAGATTTGAATATTTTATGCATTCCTTGCTTTAATTCTGTACCTGTCAAAATGTAACCAAAATGTTAAAAAAAAAAAAAAAAAAAGAAAATACATTTTTCGGGTGTCAGGCAGGTGGGAGGGGGAGGAGGGGATGGGTATATACATACATAATGAGTCCGATGCGTACCATCTGGGGGATGGACACCCTTGAAACTCTGACTCGAGGGGGGAGGGGAGGCAAGATTTGTATAACATTTGTACCCCCATAATGTTCTGAAAATAAAAGAAAAAAGGAATAAAGAGCATAAGTTTTTTAAAAATTCCATTTTATCATTAATTTCTAGTTCTGCTCCTTGTAATAATGCTACTTCAGGAAGATAGAAAGCAATTTTAAATGATATGTTTAATGGAAAACTAACTTTTTGATTAAATAGTAAGCAATACATGCTCTCAAAATTCATTTGCAATAGGAACACTGTGAAGCAATTAGTGAGCCACTGATTACTAAAATGTGTGATCGAGAGTAAATAAGCAGAGGGAAAACTGATAGGTGCTGGCTAAACTGGAAAAGGTGGGTGTAGGGATGTGTCCTAAATAGGCCTGAAGCCTGGGCCAGCTGAGGGATGAGCCTGGGACATAACCAGTTTCACAGGAAATACTCTGGAATATATTGAGGTTGTTTTGCTTTGTATGCAGATCAGACATCAGAGTTTCCAGAACAGTTGGGCAGGGTAGAGCTTAAAGTATAAAAACTCCCTTGAGGTGTTTAGTTTGTGAAAACATATGCAGCTTGACACATCATATGTGTATCTTTGTGTATGTACATTATACTTCAAAAGAAGTTTTTTTTTTTTTCCACATATTTCTGAACATCTAGAGAGGTGAGAGAAGTTTTTTAAAATGCCCCTGAGAATTGCGCAGAGATTCTCATATCTGATGTAATCATCCATTCTCTGCAGCTAGTATCATCCGCAGTGCCAGCGCCTCCTAGAGAACTCTGGGGACCTGGGAGGCTGTCACTCTGCCTGGGAGCTTGCCTTGTTATCCTCTGCATTATGAAATGTTCTCTCAATTTCCTGTAACCTTTGCCATTATATAAACTTTACACCTTCTAACTGGCCATCTTTTCATTAAACCAGCTGTAGTCCTGGTGTGGCGATCAAGTAGGCAGAGTCAGAATTCTGGAAGGAGCTGTAGTTCCATACAGAAAAAGGGAACATCCAGGGGCTGCCAAGCAAAGGGTGGGAATTTGGATGGAGTATATTGGGCACAGTGAGAACTGCCTGGCAATAGAAAACACACATATGGCTGGAAGTAATAATATCAGAACAAAATGTGATGATGCATATGACACTTGGTATTTGGTACATACTACAGAAATTTTGCAGTTCCAACTGTGCCCTTTTCTTCCTCTATGTACAGGAAATATTTTCCCTTGTTTATGAAATTTTAAATTTCAACTTCCCATAACTCAAATTTTTTTTGTTTTCTTCTTCTGTCTCATTTCTTCAAATTCTCTACTTTCAGATATCTTATTATTGTTTTTCAAGAGAATTCAAGATGTTAAAAATGCAATTTGGAAAAAAATACATTTTTGTTTTCAAATGCATGTTTTTTTGATTACATAAGAAGAATATATTATAGACATCAATAAATCAAATTCACTTAATAATAGTTCAACTTAGAGAATTAACAAATCATGTGTCCAGTTTACTGCCTGTTATAGTCTGGAATGTAATGTATTGATGGTACCAGTCTTTGGCATCCTATTACCTCCTGATAACTATTAATAATTGGCCAAATAGTGTTAGATCTATATTTTAACTAGATTATTTGGTTTTCATGTGTGCACACATGAAAATAACACTTACTGGAAATCAAGCAAGTGGCAGGGGGATGGGTAAATTCACACCTAATGGGTACAATGCACACTATCTGGGTGATGGGCACACTTATAACTTTGACTCAAATGGTACAAAAGCAATTTATGTAACAAAAATATTTGTACCCCCGTGATATTCTTAAATAAAATTTTTAAAAAATCAAGACACCCCTTTAGTTGTACTGACTTTTTCTTTAGTTTGTAACCGGAAGAGGGAAATAGAACTGTCACATTTAAAAGAATACAATAAATGTCATACCTCATGTGGCCAGTTGTGTTTTTCAAAAGTGACTATGACAATATTTTCTATCCCACGTGCTTTTCCAGAACTTTGCCACTTACCCATCAAGAGGAGGGTCCCTTCCCCTTAACTGGATGGGTCATTATAACTGCCTCAGGCAATAGAGAATTCCGTATAACTTCCAGGGCTAGATCATACAAGGCAGTACAGCTCTTGGGTCATTTCCCTTAGCACCCAGCCACCGTTCTGTGAGGAAGGCCAGGCCACAAGGAAAGGCTCTCATGGGGAGGAAGGAAGGCCCCAACCCTTAATCC